TGAAGCCGTAACCTATCCACCGATGTCATCGTCTAGAGGCTTGGCGCCTTGCATCCTCTAGCAGTTGTGTGATTTAAATGAGAAGCAAGATATGTGGGAGTACAGGTAGTGTGAAGGGGATATACATGAACATGAGAAGTAGATAAAGGGGGTGAGTGTCACAGACACAAGAATGAAGAGTAATGTGGTAAAAGTCCTGTCCTCCCCAAAGACCAGAGAGGCGCTGTGTGTTTCCCTATCCTTCCCTTCATCTAACAATAGGATGCAGTGTAGGAATATTGTCCCGTGGACATGTGCTTGTGGTCCACATCATCTCATCCTCTTGGATCCCCGATCATGCCCCTGACTCTGTCCATGGCGTTTCGACCCCGCCCTGGACGAACTTGCGACGGCCAGGCCGCTGCTGCCGCCGCCGCTGCCGCCGGACCTCTTCAACCGAGCAATGAGGGAGCGGAATTTCTCGACGTAGGTGGCCGGCGCACCGTTGACGCCCAGCTGGTCCAGGATGTCTTCGAGGCTATGGAGGAAGGGTGCGGCAGCGTCGGGTGGGAGGAGGTTCAGTACGCCGAGGACGAAGTCTTCGTCACGGTCCCCCACGAGGCGGAGGAAGAGGTTCTTGTCCCGGCGGGCGATGGCGGCAGGTCTTGTAGTTGATAGTGGGGGCACGAAGTCGCGGTTGCGCTCTACGACGGCGGCGAGGATGTGGACTAGGGTGCGGGCGGCGCTGATTCGTTCCCGGGGCTCTAAGGGCCGGTCGCGCTTGAAGATTGAGGTGCGGACGAGGCCTATTACGCCGTTGATGTGTCGTGCGGCCCAGGCTACGTCGCGGGGACCCTCTGCTGAGCGTCCTTCTGGGGAGGAGGAGGAAGAGGAGGAGGTGATGGTGGATGATGTGGTGTTGGCGTAGGCGTCAAGCTCGCGCAGGACGCGGTCGACGCGCTGAGAGAGCTTGCGGAAGGGGTCGTTTACGGGGTCCGTGGAGCGCATCTGAGAGAGAAAGTAGTGGAAGAAGTCGTTGTTGGCGAGGAGCATGCGGAAGATTGTGCCCTCAAGGTCGCGGCGCTTGACAGGCTTCTTGCCCGTGGAGGGCGGGTCGGAGAAGAGATCTGGGCGGTAGTCTTCAGTCAAAGAGGACGAGGACATGACTGCCGAGAGCATCTCGCGGGCTTCGTGGACGCGGTGTGGGTTTGGGTGCTGCCGGTGCTCTTCTTCCTCTGCCTCGTCGTCCGAGTCGGTGTGTTCAGAGTCCTCTTCCGAGTCTGGGGTGACGACGTCGCAGCGGAGGCCGTCGGCTAGGACGTCCAGGTGGAAGGCCGATATGTCGGAAAAGGGGTCGCCAATCTCCTCTGGGTAGCCGTCCGCGGTCATGGTCAGGGGGGAGGTCGGGTCGTGGTCGTAGAGCGTCTGCTTGACGAGCTGATCCAGGAGCCAGAGGAGATGCTTGCAGGGCGGACCGGCCTTTTGCTGCTGTTCCCGGCACGAGCACCGGGGCGTCGCGAAGGGGCTGTCGGGGGACCCGATACGGATGGAACGGGGCACGAGCTCCGTCATCTGGAAGGCGTAAACGTCGTCCCTGAGGCGGCAGTACTGCAGCGAGAGGCGGGGCGGGTCCTTGAAGGCCTCGCGGACGCGCAGGCGGGCGTCGGGGGAGAGCGAGTCGACCTTGTAGACGAGCTTGGAGGGGGATCGGATGACGGAGTGGTCGTCGTCGTCGACGAGAGACGAGTCCGAATCGGACTCTGGCTCGGAGCTGCTGGTGCCGCCGCCGCCATCGTCGTCTCCGTAGTCGTCGTTGTCATCGTCGTAGCAATCTGAAGTGGTGATATCGCTGAGGGACTGCCGGTGCGCCTGGGCTCTGGTTGTGGGAGGCATCCTTCTTCCCAAAGAGAGCTCTCTAAACTTGGCTACGGGGGTGGGAGAGGAGGAGGAAGACATTTATGGTGTGTGAAAGGAGCAGTAAAGTTCTATATGTTTCACAGAGGCTGCTGATGAAGAAGGGGTCTCCATGGTGAATCGGTTCACGGGTTACTTATAGGCTCCAAAGGTCAGATGATAGGGGGGAAAAGAAGGGGGGAAGGGGGAAAGGGAGGGCGGAGTTAGGCCAACTATGACGAGACCCCCAGAGACCCAATGCAAGTGCTAGTTGGCGAAGCTAGCGATGCTGGATGGATGTTGGAACAGGGGGAGAAGCGTAGTAAGGTAAGGTAGGCAGATGAAGACAAATCTAAGACGAGCCCCGGTGCAGACACACGAGTGGTAGACGAGCATATCCCATGGAGATGAACGATGTGACGCATAGCAGTAGGAGGGGTGCGGTAAAAAGGACAAGAGCAGGATCGAGAACTACTGGCCGGTTCGGGATCCCCCCTCCCCCTTGTCTTGCGAGAAGCTGATCAGATCACCTTCTAGAAACAATTCCATTTCCTAAACTTTTTCCTTTCTGCATACTCGCCCAGCCCCTGATCCCAGAACCGCAGTTGCTAGGAAAAAATCAGGCGGGATGAGGTGGAGGGATGTGGGAGGTCGGCTCGCCCTGGCCGAGACCGAAGTCTGGATGTGTGCCGTGAGCTCAGCAACCATGCCGGGACAAGCAGAAAGCTCGGGCTGAGGGCGTGGTTCTGCGGCGCAATAGAGAGTTGGGACAAGGTTTTGGGTCGAAACTCCACATCAGGTGGTCGTAGAAGCTTGGGTGGAAAGGAAAGCAATGCAGAGTAAGGTCAGGCCAAAGAGAGAAACATCGGACTGCGCAGATCGAAGGTCTTTGCGCCGTGCGGTGGCGGCGCGTGGCATGGGGAAGAAAAGGGGCATTGGTCTCTTCGGTTTCCATGTCCAGGGTCTGGGAAAAAAGCTACGACGCATGAACAATGGGATAACTGACCGAGAAGGTCTCGTCTGGCGCGACTCATAGGACGAAGTACGGCAAAGTGGGGGGGAGGGAGCGAGGAAGATGGAGAGAATGCACTGCGACGATGAGAGACTGGCGACGAGATACGCTGATATCCGCGCTGTGGTTCGCTAGATTGCGATGAGTCCTACTTTGTCGACGATGATGGGAGAAGAGAAGTCGAAGTCGATAGAAAGAGGCAGCATTCTGGCCGGCCGGGGTGCTGGGTAAGGTACCCTGGCCCGGTTGAAGATGTTAAAAGTGGAGTCGCGTCTATCTCCCAAAGGCCGAACCGCACGGCCGACCGCCGAAGGACCGCTCCTCCACCGTTCGGTACCGTGGGCTCCAGCCTTCCACTCCTGCCAGGGAACCTAACACGCCAGAAGTTCTCTTCCATCTTCAAGGCACCTCCAGCCACGGCTCAAGCCACAAATACGTTACTGCCATTGGTCCATGGCCGCGCAAGGAGGACACCAGCATCCGGCTGCCCAATGAGGTCCCAGGCGTTTTCTAAAAACCGTCCAGTCGCTTGCTGCCTCTTTGGGGTCTGGGGCCACGCAAACGGGCCGCTGGTCACCCCACCGGGGCTACGCCGAAAACGGGAACCACAGCCCCGAACGGGCCGGCCGGTTCTGCGACCGCGTTCGTGGGTTCGCGCCCCACTTTCTTCCCTTTTCTGACGTGTATCAGGCTCTGGTTCCATGAGAAATCCAACTTCACACTCACAGCCTTCCTCCCGGCCGCATCACCGGCCGCATCCCCCCAAATGGTTGCGGCCCTTTCGACCTATCCATTTTGCTGTGCTGTCGTGCTCCTACAGACCGTCATAAACACCTCACAAGGCTTTCTCGAAGCGTAGGGACCGCTGTCCGCTGGGTTCCAAACTCCCGGAAATCGGTTGGAACGCCTTACAAGTCGGGAGGAGGGGGTCCATGGCTGAGAGGCCTCACGACGACGTTCTGGCCTACCCTAGACAGTTGAGTCTTCGGACTCGTTCGCTGCAACCTGGGGCCAACCAGACTTCAACGACAGGATCGTCACGGTATTCGTCGTCTTGTACGGCTCCCGATAACCGACCAATCACCATGATCGATGGACTGAGGCCCGTTGGACTTGACATCGGCCTCTGCGGCACTTCCTCAGCCGCAGAAGCCTTAACGGACTTCACCGGCAGTGCTCGACCTTGGCCAAGCATCAACGGCTTCTCCATGGGTCTCTAGGCAGACGACAGGGGCAAAAAGGGCTTCGCAGGATCATTGGTAAAGGCATCTAGCGGCGTGGTCTATTCATAGTCCGTACAAGTGCTCTCGTGTTATCATGGAAGTCGGGACTTGGGTGTCATCCTTCGGGCAGGCTTTGGACAGGCGCGATAGCCGCCTGCAAAAGCCTATCTCTCCAGGCTCGGCAACCTTTTCAACTTCAGAGGAAACAGGGTTCTAAGTGTGACGCATCTCGGCAATGAAAAGTGTACCAAGTCTGGACGGGGTTCCCCTGGGCTGGGGCAGAGCGGTGTGACTTCATATCACATGACGCCAGACTGACGATGATGGGTCGGGATGCCAGAAAGCGTAGTCACGCGTTACGAGGTAGGTATGATGAGCAAAACATACAGGTGGAAGTATGCTTTGTAGTCGAGTTACAAAAAGCCGCGCAATCGTTTCTTGGTCGGAAAGTGGTGAGTTTAGGGTTATCGGCACGGGTCAAGGCCATCTGATCTCTGCTGCCGAGCGAAAATGCTCCCAGCTTTGGTCACTTCTTCGCACACCCTTTAGCCTGCCCCCTTTCCGGTCCACGTGCAGCTACTCCTCGTCGGGCAAACAATGCTTTTGGTTGCAGAGCTCTGATTCATACAAGATTGATAACGTTCTTACAATGACTCTAATATTCCCGTCAAACCCCTTATGTGATTTCCAACGTTGTAATTAAGCCATACGGCCAACGTTGTCTACTAGTCACATCGATCTATCAAGAGGACGTCGTAACTTATCAATGCTCTTAATTTATTGTCCGTGTTCTTCCTAGTATTACCGCGCCTCCCCTACTGTGGAAAATGTGGCTCTCAATGAGTCCTCCCAAGACCTTTCATTTCCGACACATGAGTCTCAAAAGGCTTTGCCTACTTGTGGGCCTTGACTGACCATGTCTTCTCCTCAAATCGAACCACGCGAACTACATGATCAGCTTCAAGCACCTGCCTCCCAAGAACGACGTCCATAATGACTCCAATTTGAAGCAAAGCCAGACAACACGTAAGAATGCCACACAGCTGCGTGACCAAAGGACTGTAATCGGCGTGAACGGCATACACGGTAGGCATAGCCGCTAAAGACCACCCGGCAACGTAACAAAAGGGCAGAATCGGCAGCACGAAGACGCTCCTCCACCCGTTGAACCACTCGCGGTACCGGTACGTCATAGCGATGCCCAAAAACACGGCCGAGACGTTGCAGAACGCCCACCAGCAGGGAAACAAGCTAAACAGCACGAGAGGCTGGTGGCCGTAGTAGAGGTACAGTCCGCCGTAGTTGAGCAGGCACTCCTCCAAGACGATGTCAAACAGGCCCGCGAGGCCGAGGAAGACCAACAACGTCTTGTTGCTTACCCCGCGCATGAGGGCGCCAAAGATGGAGCATCCTAGCACGGCGCCAAAGGACCACCAGATGATGCCGACATACACATCAAACTCCCGGCCGAGAAAGGTGAACATGAGCTGGGACGGGTCGTGGGACTGCGACCAGTAGCAGTTTGCGAGGTAGTTGTCGACGGCCTCGGGCAGGACGCAGGTCGCGGCGCCGAGGGTCAGGGCCGTGGGGACGGTGGAGGACCAGCGCTTGCTCTCTGCGAGGGAGATGAGGACGAAGGTGAGGGAGAGGGCGAGGAGGATCGTCGAGACGACGCGGACGTGGGTTGCGTCTTGGGCGAAGGCGTCGTTTGGAGGGGCGATGGTGCGGAATGTCGAGTCGAAGGTGACTTTGACTTGGGCGTTTTGGGCGGATATGAGAGGTAGTGTTAAGAGGATTGAGGCTACGGCGAGAGCCGGCCGGCTGAGGAACTGCCTCATGATGTAGTGTGGTTGGTATGGAAACGAGGATGTACGGTGATGAAGAGTATGACTGGGTGTTGAAAAGTTGTATCGAGTCGTGCAGAAATCAATGTCATAGCTAGAGTTTGGACTTCAAAAGCTTTGTTATAAGTCAAGACGTATTTATATATCGACAGACGTTTTCGTCGTTCCGTCCGAAATAGTAAGTTCGGGACCGAATGAACCCTTCGAGCATGAGGCTGTGGTCGGGGATTTCCCACATGGAGGGACCCTACCACGATTGGAAGACTCCAGTCCATATTGCCACAGCATTTGAAGGAAAGCATCGGGATAACGTATCAACAGACCATCTTGAGAAGAGGGAACCAGAATATTGTCGGTGGGCTTTGCGACGTGATCCCACGATACCCAAAACGGTAGTTCGGAGCCGAGGTCGAGAGGACGCTGTTCCAATGGATTATAATTTGGCCCCGATTGAATCCTGTTTCCCTAAAAGTATGGAGCCTTCACTTTTCCGAATACATCACTTCGAAGAATACTTCAGCATCCCATGTCATTTCTTCATCATTTCTCATAAAAAAGGCCTTGGTCAAGTTACCCGGCTGGGAGGCATTTGGCCTCTTCATATACAACACAATCCCGCTGCGTACAATCAGCGCTCCCAAACTCCATATACCCCTATCTATAGCCAGACTCTACAACAAACAAGGAACAACAACAAATGTAATGGAATGGGTATTCTAAATCGCCTGCGCCACCTTGCCCCTGCGATCCCCCGCCTCTTGTGTCGCTTTCTCTTCCCTGTCGCCAGCAGAGCACTCCGCCGGCGGCAGAACCCGATCGACTGAGTGTGTCGAGTGCGACATGATATCAATAGTCGTACGGACATTAATGACCGGCCGGTCGCGCGCCTGCGTCTCCTGGACGTGGCTCCTCTGACCGAGATCGGAAGACGGCCTCGACGCGTCGTAGTCCTCGTAGTCGTCCCGCCCGTCGTCCCGGGCCGTCTTGTTCAGCTCAATACTGGATCCGGTGCCGGATAACGCCCGATCAATGTCGTTGAACGTTCTTACGGTGGAATTTGAGTTTTCGGATTTGCCTCCTCTGGCGATGGCGCCGGACGTTTCCTTTGTTCCTGGGTGGCCGCTCGTGTTGACCCAGCCTGCGCCTGACGGACGAGATTGCTTGCTTTTGTTGCTCCATCCGAATCCCCAGTTCTGAAAGAGAGGTCGGAGACTGGTGACCGAAGCCGCGATGATGCCGAGGGCGGGCTCCAGGACACTCCAGATGGCCACATCGCTGTTGGTGGAAGGATTAGCCAGGTGCTCATAACAAGTCAGACATCTGGGGACATACATTGTTTCGTAGAGGAAGTCAGCCGATATGGCGAGACGTCTCACATATGGTATGCGTACTATAAGAGCAACCCCAGCACTAGATGTTCGTTAGAACCAGGATGCTACGCCACGTATTGGAAAAGGTTTGACCTACACCATGCCCATACTCAGGAGAACGGCAACGAGTGCCTTTGTCCGCCGGTTCAAGTTGACGTTCCACAAGAGGGCGATCGGCAGCAGACCCATGCACCAGTCTGATATCGCCGAGATGATGCTATGTGCAATGGTTGCGTCCGGGACGATATTAAAGTTGATACACGACCCAGGGTCTCCGTACAGTTGTCTCCAAAAGTAGGACGGAGGCATGCACTGAAAGGTCATGATGCAGAAGAAGGCAATGGAGATCATCCAGACGACGACGAGGTTGGCGTAGATGATATAACGGTGGACTTTGTTGAGAGCGAGGCGAAGGAGCAGGAGACAAATCGAGGTTCGAATCGCCAGTGTGATTGGGGAGTATAAGACTTCGCAGATGTACCAGGCTCTAAGGGAGACGGCGGCTTGGTCGACTGTGAGTTCCGTAATGTGCTTTCCAGTGGCACCGTTGGTGATACCGTGGAGGGCGATGCCGCCGTAAACTGTGTAACCAAGCTGCGATGTGTTCATGTAAGTGGAAGGGAAAGGAAGAACGCGAGGATCGGGCAAAGTACTGACCATGGCCCCGAAGATAAGCCAATCATCAACAGCTAAACTCTTGACGATGCATACCTTGACGTAGGCTCTTGCCAAGACGAAGAAGCCGGCCGCGAGCATAAAGGACAGCTGAACAGCAAAGAGCTGCATGCCTCTGTTTTGAATGTCATCGTGCGGAACCCGTGATTCTAGTGAGCCGTCCATATTGCAAATCGGAATGGCAAAGGATGATTCAGGCAAAACACCAGAGACATTGGGCCTCCCAGTGCCATGGAAATGCGGATGGCGAGGACTTATAAGCCCTTTCACTCTCAGCCTGGTGTGTCTGGCCTAACTTGCGCCATCCCATATGTCAAAAAAGAACATTCAGTGGGGGGAGGGAGCTCAGAAAGGAAAAAGAAAACGCCCCTACATGTACCGGTTCCCCACGAGGAGATCAGGTATCGAGAGTGTATCTCTCTCAATTACTTTAAATTAAAACACCCCAGGCCCTAATCGTGTTCTCCTCCATCTAAAGATTGCATGTTCCGGAAAACCTTCTTTTACAACGAAATCTCGCTTCTGAACTCTTCTCTCGAGGCCAAGTTCTCCGTGCCGATAATCCGTGCCTAACACCGCCATTTGATAAAAACAAGAGGCTATGCGACATGCAAAGCATGGAAAAGTAAGACCCTCCATCGGGTCACTTGCTGGCTGAGCAGGACATCTGCGCCATGATGGAGAGACAGGACGCAACTTGCAGCTGCCGCGAGGAAGCAGAGGCAAGGACAGCCACGCCCACGTCCAGGGTTTGACTGGGGTTGACAAGTTCAGGGTCGCCCACAAAGCCTGCATATACGCACAGAGAAATTGCCAGTCAACAGGCGCACGACAATTTTCTCTCCGGTAGTTCCGTGATTCCGAGTGGTTCTGGTTCATCTGCAAGCTATATGCTTTGGGAGAAAGCGAATCCACACTTGGAGAAAAGAAAACCCCACAGAGTAGGTAATACGGGGTCGAGTGGGATGATGCCAATCCCAACTAGGGTCGGTTTCTGACTGGGCCAGTTCAGACGAAAAGGGTTCCCCTTCTCCGGACCAACGATGCCGAGGATGCAAAAAGCAGGGCTCTTTTACCCAAGAATCTGACAGGTATGATACGCCGTAGCGAGTATTATGTGACAGGAATGGGGTTGTGATGGAGGTTTGATCAGCTTTGTCACGCCCGTGGTTATTGGTTTCCTCGAGAGCCACATCAAACCGGTAAGTCTTACCTCACAGACCCAGCCAGACTGTGATCAGGATGAGATTCCCTGTCTAACTGTTAAATTGTTGATCTCGCGATATCCGTACATGGCTCCCAGTCGAATGTCCAAATTGGAAGCGGAGTTGGGTTCCAAGGCCCCGGATCAAGACCAGGCAAATAAGCCGCGGACTGGGGGGAGGGGGGACAGCGTCATATCTCAGAGCTTCAGAAGTGCGAAATGTGCAATTGGCAGTAGTATCACGATATGATCCTGTTAGATGACTGGTGGCGAGAGGCCATAGCTCTTGATCGACGGAGAGAATCGTCAGTCCCGTCAGTCCGCATTGACTATTTTATCTCCTTAGAAAAGAAATCATTAGTCGGAGCAATACGGCGGAAAACACAAGAGTCGAGACTCAATGGTGGCTCTCTCAGTTATCGTTTATGACCAAGTCACTAGCCTGCTGGTAAGCAGACAAGATCCCGATAACCACGCATTTGTTGCGCATCAGAATGATTAGTCAAGGCCTGCTTTGAATGTGGTTCCTCGTTGCATATGTTGCCGTGAGGATTTTGCCTTTAGGCCACTGGTAGCTGTGATTCGGCCGAAGCCGAAGGACTATCCGTTTCCGTACATGGGGTACGCTGACCGTACCCCTACTGGAAACTGCAATGACCTAGAAGATTTTTCTCATTCTCGAGGGTCGCCTGGCGGTCGGCAAGTTTGCTCATCGTACGATCCGAAAGGAGGCAGAGTAAGCCAGAGTGGACGACATGGATACCCGAGTGAAGTTAGATTGGATCGGTGGATGGGCAGCAACGGAGGACAACACTGTCTCAGTGTATCGGCCGTACGAAGAACCACTCGTTAGTTCAGCCCTTCCCGCGGCGGGACCAACGTTCGTTTAGCCAAAAAGGCTGGCGAGTCATTGCCATCGGCCGACGAATGCGAAAATTGCCAGTACGTGTGTGGGCCAGGTCGTGCGGAACCGCGGAGACTGGAGTCAACGGGGAAGCTTGGCCAGACAGAGCCGGTGCAGGTTGAGTATCACTGACCTGTCAAATGCTGGGAGAGGTGGGCGGGCAGACAGGATCGGATTATGGCCGTGATGTGTTTGTAAATGCCTCTAAGCAATTGCCGTGGCGGTCAGACGTTCAAAAGGAGGAAAGTCGAGGGTCATGACAGAAAAGAAAGTTGATGTTGGATGGAGATGGCGGAGGTCCAACGAGACCGAAGCAAACACCAGGGTCCCACAGGCCGGGGGAGCCTGCCGGAGCCAGGGGCATTGTTTGGATTCGCCAATCGAGGAAGCTCTATGGGGGTAGCAGGCGTTACTTTATGCCAGGCACGTTGCAGTGAACCTTACTAAACCCAGGTCCGAAGAGCAAGTTTGAAGTTGGCAACGCCGGGCATAAGCCGCGGTGTCATCCAACGCGGGACTTGTTTGCTTGTCAGTGTCAATCAAATTGCACTGACAGAGCGAGCTGCATTTAACAGCCGGCCGAAGTAGCCCCAAGTAACCAAGAAAATGTAACTTCGCGAGATATAATTGGGGTCAGTAGCCCATCCGTATCAGGCCCACGGGGCAGAGTCCAGTTCGATCAGATCGCCCCCGACTGACAGCTCAAGTAGTGAACAATGCGCACGATCCTGCAATCTGCTTCACTGGCGCTTACGTGGACCACCTCGAGAGTCGAAAGTGGCCTGGTCCGAATTTCTGCTCGCTGGCTAGGCGATCATTAAAAGCTACTATTCTAGCTTCCTGCCCGTTCCTTCTGTTGAGTGCGATAACTGATCGATTTGAAGACAGGATCGAAAATGCCGTTACGCTAAATCAACGAGCATCGACTCCTTAGGCTAAATGATATATCACTTCTCACTCAGCAACGGATTTTGTAGCCCATTGTCTCCAGCAATGACAATAACATGGTCCGTGAATGTGAGAAATTGGCGCCTTAAGCGACTAAGCTCCCTTTTCCTACCTGTGGACTTTGGTCACCGAACGCCATTCTCTCGGGAGAGGCTTGCCAAATGCATGCGCCATTTGAAGCGGTCGATGGGCTCTAAGCTTCACTGTCTCACTCGCGGAAGACAGCTGTCGATTGTTGATTCACAGCCACTTAAAGATCAATTTGATTAACCGGTGGGATATGGCTCTCAGAAAGTTTTGGTTGCAAGTGGCAGCGGGGATTGAGAAGGATGACGTCTCGAATTTAAGAGCGCCCGTCAGCATTCGAAGTCCAGCTCAAACCAAAGACGATCTGATGACCGGTTGACCGGATCCTATGACAGCAAACATCAAAGACCTCAGGGCTCAGGCGTGGCGTGTTTGCTTGTCCTCCTGTGCCGCATGCCAAATACTCATTCAAATTAAAATCTCTGTGTTCCGAGGTTGGCCCGCCAGGAAAAAGAAAGCAACGACGAGTGGTCAGATTATGACGTGGTTTGCATGAGCGGGGGTGGGCCTCTATAATCCGAAGAGGGAGGGGAAACGCCGGCAAAGTCAATGATAAGGAGCCACAGCATGGATCCACACGGTCGGAAGAGGGTGGTCATGTCGATGAACTGGGTGTTCCGTCCGGGCGGCATCCTGCCCTCGGCTCACCCCGTGTCGGGCACGGCTGCGGGGTATCTCATGAGGACGGAACGGCAGTGTGGGTGGGGTCCCAAGCTTCCGGAACGCATAGGCCCTCCCGCCGATGCTATCGCCGGATGTCTCCCATCATGAGATGACAACGTCATTGCTAAAGCTGGTCTCATGGTCTAGTATGCTAGACGCACCGTGGCGACTGCATGGGCCTTGGCATGCGATGCACAATGTTCAGTCGAGAAAGATGGAGATCATACCGGACGAATTGTCCCGCACTCGAGTTACCTCAGCAAAACTCAACCGAATGTGCAGCGGACGGTTGTCTCCGGCCTCAAACGCAACGAATCGAATCGTTGTGTGAGATCAGAAAACCGAGAGCCGCACAGCTCCTACTCCCGGAGGTTCAACCAATTATTTGCGCATTCATGGAAGGGAAGAAATAGCGCCTGAGCCTAGACCGTGTAATGTTTCTGCAATTGCAGTCACCATGACGTCGTTGATGAGGTATGTGGGTAACCGCTTTACCTATGCACCTACCTTATTCTACTTGTCTTGATGGCATGACGGATAACAGCTTCCTGTATGTCTTGGCTGTAGTTCGCTGCTATTGATTGCTCTTTTAATCACCGTTTTTCCAGACATCTTCGACACTTCCCAGTCTTCGATATCTCTGTGAATCTGCAGACTCAGTAACTCGACACAATTACCATGACAGACAAGTCACAATTCGAAGAAGGTACGTTGTCCACCTTCCATGAGACTGAAATATTAAAGATCAAGACTCATGATAAATTTCCAGGCTACAAGGTGCCGGTCACGGACCAGAGCTTCCCCGGCAAGGAGGGAAAACTGCCCGTCACCCCTCTTTTCGACAGAGTCCCAACTGCAGATGGCGGCTCTAAGCTGTACCAAGCTGCAGGGAAGCTCGATGGCCTGAAAGCTGTCATCACTGGTGGCGACTCTGGCATCGGTCGCGCAACAGCAATCCTCTTCGCCATGGAGGGCGCCGACTCTCTCATTGCGTATCTCCCTGACGAGGAGGAGGATGCTCAGGAAACCAAGAAGCGTGTCGAGTCCTACGGCCGCAAATGCCACCTTATTGCGACCGATATCACTGATGCCGCCAACTGCCAAAAGATTGTCGACACTGCGCTGGAGAAACTCGGTGGTATCGACATCCTTTTCAACAATGCCGCATATCAGATGATGGTTGAGAACATTCAAGACTTGAAGGAGTGAGTTCTATAAACCGAGTGGCTGCTTTTCGGGCACTAACGAAGATTACAGGGATCAATGGATTCATACCTTCAACACCAATATCCACCCCATTTTCTACCTATCTAAATACGCCTTACCTCACATGAAGAAGGGTGCAACCATCATCAACAACGCCAGCATCAATGCTTATATCGGCCGTCCCGATCTCTTGGACTACACCTCCACCAAGGGTGCCATCATCTCCTTCACTCGAGGATTGAGCAATCAGTACTGCGCTAAGGGCATCCGCGTCAACGCGATTGCACCCGGTCCTGTCTGGACTCCGCTGATCCCCGCGACCATGAACGAAAAGGCACAGAAGGAGTTTACAAGTCCCATTGGACGCCCGTCGCAACCTTCAGAGATCGCGACGTGCGTAGTATTTCTCGCTTCTACCGACAGCGCAAGCATTACGGGACAGACGATCCACTGTAATGGAGGTGTTATTGTCAACGGCTGAAAATGTGGACGAGACATTTCGTGCTACCTAGAAATCCATACGCTCGGTACAGGTTGTGGCTCTTTAGACATAGCGACTTGAATGCTCAGGTCTAGTGAATTATTGCATTACTCCATGACTTCAACTGTGCGAGACCACGACAAGACTGATTCGACTGATTGCAACAGAGAAAATGAGCCATGTCCTAGTCCCGCTCCATTTCCTATGAGGTTTTAAAGCTTCTCACAAATAGCTTTTGCACATCAAGGTATCTGCTTAGAGACTGATTCGGCCGATGGCAAGGTCCAAGACGGGAAGGTTACCCACAAGAGATTGAATAGCGTGGATGAAACAGGGGACCGGGATGAAACGAGACCAACCACAGGTCGCGAATCACCCACCAACAGGAGGGGCGAGGGGTGAGGGGCAGAAGAGAAGCGCGTCGTGCTGCGTGCATGACCTGCATTTCTAGTGTGGTTCTGGTGCATGTTGGTCGATATTGGGCGCATTTACACTGGATTGACAAGTTTGCCCTCATTGGACGACGACAGACCGAATACTGTCTAGATCATGTGAACTGTCAAGCCCCTTTATCTTACTTTCATTGTCAACAAGATGTTGATGTTTAGGAAAAGCTATTTTGGCGGGGAAACGTAAACCGGCCGAATCGGCCATAGGTGACGGCTGCCCATGTGCGATTGGCGTACGGATACTTAGTGCTGGTCCAACGACGTTTCTGTGTCATGTCTACCTTGGTTGCAAGACAGGCCGTTAACACGCGCACGCAGATCATTAGATTCCCCCTGGTTATCAGCATTTAGCAGATGTAGGTATCGCTGTTGAGCCGCAGCGGTGCAGACCATGACTTGGTTTCTATTCTGTTACATGACACGTTGAAGTTTGTTGGGACTCTATCTGGCGAACTGCTGGAACCTTGACGTCGTTCCCACTGGCGGACCAGAGTCATGTTACGGTATCCTACTGCAAAAGAGGCAGCGGGACACAATGCAAACAAAGATCTCTGGGAAACTCTATTACTGCATCGTGGTAATGGGGCGGGCCGCTGCTAAGGAAAGACAGAATGACTCTGGGCATAGCAAAGCAGATAAGTTTGTACTCTGCTACGCCAGGAAGTAAGGTCCCCTTTGTCTAGGATCTCCTGCCCGGCCAGGCGAACGGCCAATGGCACGCCAAGGCTGAGTCTGGGGGTGCTCGGCCCCCAAGAGCAGAGGTAATCTCTACCTCTCCTGTCTTGTTTTGATGCTCTCTTTCTCAGGAAAGGCTGAGCTATGTCAGGTACCAGGAACTTTGGGCTCCAGATGTGACCAGAAACGGCCCCTCCTCCAAAAAAGACGTGTCGCGCTTTCCCCTTCCCTTCTGCTCCCTGTCGCAGGCCCATCCCTTCATTTTCCCTCTCCCCCTTCCAGAACAACTCATCTGGTCTTCTTGTTTTGGGCTGAGCCACCCACACATTCTCCATCTGTTGTTTTCCTTCTTTTTCCCTCTTCTGCAACAAGAGCTTCGCCATCCTCTTCATGTCATTGTCTCTCTGGCCCTGCTGAGCTTTCTTCTTGCAACTGCTTGAACCCCTCGAGCCGTGCACAAACAGCAGCTCCAACGAGCCTTCTCCACCAACACCAAGTAAACAAACCGTCATTTTCGCATCGCATTACCGTCGCATTCCTCCCTTTCGAATACCCAAAGGCTACCATGGCCGCCGCCACATACAAGCAGTTCTTGACTGCTCCCAACTCGTCGCTGCTCGCGCCGAACGCGACGCTCTATTACATCACCACGACCACCACTTACAATGGTCCTACTGACATCATTAAGCACCTCAACATCTTGCGCAACCAGGTGAAGAAGAAGAAGGAGGAGATCCTGGATATCGTCGAGGGTCGCGATGCCATCGCCGCAGAAGTTGACACTACCCTGGAGTTCGTCACCAGCGGCGGCGCATACCTGCCTGGCCTCGATGACAACTTCCTGTCTGACCGGACTGTCTACCTTCCGATTGTTTGTGCTACCCCGCGTCCTTATTGTTGGAGCTTGGGCTTGGCTAACCGCACGTTCTTTAACAGATGCATGTTGTGAACTTCGATAGCGAGGGCAGAATCGCGCAAATTCGGCAAACGTGGGATCAGGGCGCCCTCCTCAAGCAGTGCGACATCATTGGAAAGTCGGGCCGCAACTGGCCCATCCGGGACAGCACCGAGCAAATCAAGTTGATCACCAAGGGCTTGAAGGCCAACGGCAAGGTCGATGCCGCTGCTCCCGACTTCAACGAGTTGACCCACCGATCCCGAGGCAGCTCAACCAATGTGCTCCGAGACCCCCATGCTTCTCTTTCCCTGTTTGCGCCCAGAGAGGAGCAGGAGGAAGAGGCACCCCGAGCTGTCGTGTCACCTTATGCGGGTACCCGACCTCAGCAACGGTCTTTCAACGATATTCTAGGCCCCCAGTACGAGGAGCCTAGCTCCCCCAGCGCCGGACGCGAGCGCGACGAGTCTCCAAGCAAGTTTGGCGCTCCCAAAGCTGGAGCCGGAAAGAACTTTCAGCCCAGCCGCTTGTTCGACGCCGACGAGCATGCAGATGTGCCTGATAGCCCCGAATACAAGTCTCCCGAGAAGTTCTACAGACCCAACCCCAAGAAGTTTCAGCACTTTGACTTCGCCGACGGCTCCGACCCGCAAGATACTCCCAAGCCTGCCGATGGTCGTCCTAAGGCTACCAAGCACGACAGCAGTTGGTCTTTCGACGACTTTACGACGCCGCAAAAGATCAAACCCGGAAAGACACAACGCACTCAGGACGTCCGCCATTGGGATACCGATGTGAACAACTCGGCGATTAAGGAGACTCCTGTCACCCGAAAGCCCCAGGTCAAGGGACGCCGTGAGGCCGAGGCACACTTTGATTTCGAGGATGATGGCCCGCAAAAGACACCCCGTCCCGCAGGACGACCCAAGGGCACGGCACACAACACCGGCCTCCACCTGTATGAGAACAACCTGTACAGCGAAGACGGAAAGCCCCTTCCTGGAACCGACTCTGATCGCGCATTGGGTAACATCACGAACCTCAACCATCGTCACAAGGATTTCGACCCCCATTTCGCCATGACGGATGACTCGCCGAGCCAGTCCGGCCAGCAGGGGCGACCCGCAGTCAGCGACTCCCGCAAGAAGGCGGTGAGCAACATGGACTCCCACTGGGATTCATACGACGAGTCTCCAGCCTCTCAGAAGGAGAACAAGCCCCAGGCGTCGTCAAAGGGCAAGGGCGGCATCCACATTGCTGGAGATGGCATGGGTTCGAAGAAGGCCCAAGAAGAAAAAGAAGGCGACTCGAAGGGTATCCATATTGCTGGAGACGGTATGGGTGGTAAGAAGGGTACCAACCGCAACTGGCTCTATGGAGACGACGACCTCGAGGATATCCCCAAGGCCGTCCCGCCCAAGGGTGGCTCAACTTTGACTTCGGCCCAGAAGAGCTTCTGGGACTTCTGAGCGCGACGGACGGACGCTCTGGCATTCATCAACAGACGAAGCCATCACCACTGGCCCGACGTCTTGTCCGTTCCTGTTACGATTAAATGTATTGTGTACGTTGCCCACGATTCACGGGAGCATTTTATTGCTGCCAGCATGTTGTCTCTTCTCTCAACCAGCCAACCTTTCATGGCCTCGCACGATGGTGTGGTCTAGGGGAGTAGGATATGTGGCAAGAAGAATACCTGGATGTAAAATTGCTGTACCACCCACAAGAGAGAGGGGGAGACGGAAGAAGGAAGATGGAGGAGACGTTTTGAAGTAAGGGCGAGCGGAAAGGCGAGGAAGAAAGTGCAAAATAGGTTCCTCTACCGCTTGTATTGTTGTACAGACATAGCCCATGATATCCAACAGACCGAACATATTTATACCTACTTGATCCTGTGGTGAAGTTACTACCGTGCAGGACTGACATGATGCCGTTGGAGCTAACATGGCGAGTCTGAGGTTAGGCACCTTGACCTTGTGTAGAATATTTGCCGATGTTACGGTAGGCCCGAACCCAACAGCATCTCAACTCTGCGTACCTTCCTTCCCGCCCTGAGGCTTCTTTTCTCCCCCCAGGGGAATCATTCGGCGGGGCGGCGTGAGCCCCAAGGTCAGTATTTCCCCCTGCATTCCTTTTTTTTCATTTTTTTCTCTCCTATCTCTCTTGGAAGTGAAGACGCGGTGGATGAAGGTGATTAAGACACTGCTCGTTAGACGTATACTATGCTGCAGACAATACTATTTATTGTAGCCATCCACCATTCTAGAAGAGCTTCATTCTGATGCTCCTCCTTGCTCATAAAAAACTATGGCGGATATCTCAAAGTACTTCACCTCCGCAGGCATATAATATACCATGGCATCAACATAAATAATGAGAAAACAATGTACCAAGATCCCCTTCCCCCGCACAAAATATCCATACGCCACGCTATTCATATCCCTCGCTTCCAGAATCCAAAAGATCAAAATATAGATAAGGTAATTTCCTAAACTGCTTCTGCACGCCCAACACGGCAGCAAACCCCCTCAACGACCCGAGAGGCTCAACACAAAAATTTGTACACGCGCTTCCATCTCGGCCACGACCGCCTCTCCTCCTGCTCCTGAGCAACGAGGATGCCGAGGTTAAAGTCTCGACGGCCCGTGCTAACGTCCATGTCCTCGATACGGATAAAGACCGTCCGGAAGTAAAACTTGTGCACAACGTACATGATGGCCACGATGGGGAACGCGGCATACCGCAAAAAGAAATTCTTGGCCACGGACTCGGCGTCCCACGTCTCCCAGCCGACAGGGAAGGCGCCGACCCAGAACTGGGCGATGAGGACGAGGACGTTCATGACGAGGCCGCACCATGAGCCGATGACGCCGACCTGGGAGCGGAAGGCGAGCTCGTGCAAACCATGGCCCTTGCGTGCCCAGGCGTGGCGGAAGCGGATGTGACAGAGGCAGATGGAGGCCCATGTGAAGATGGATGAG